AAATCAGTCGTCGACGAGAGTGGTTAAAAAAGAAAAGAGAAACGAAATACTATACTTCGCGCAATATATATATAATCTTTTTTAGAAATAAATAAAAAGAAAGAAACAAAAAAAAAGTAACGACAGAAAGAAAGGAAAATATCGAATAGAAATGTAACTATAATAATTTTCTTTGTTACATTTATTCGATTGAATTTATTCACACGTGTGTGTTTGAAAGTAATAACAATTAAATGATTTTCGAGAATTGAAATGAATCGGCTTGGAAGATAAACGTGTGTAAACGATCATTAATAATTAATATACCGCGCGTCACGATGAAATATAATGATGGTTAAAGGGAAGAAACACAGAGAAACAAAATGGGAGAGAGAAAAAATAAATAAATAAATGTAAAAAAAAAATGATGTTCGTTAGTTCGCTCGAGTGAGCTTATTTGTGGCCATCGTGTCGTAGCGGTGATTCTCGCGGTGAAACATTTTTTTCTTTCTCTCTCTCTCTCTCTCTCTCTCACTCTCTTTCAGGAGAAAGAAAGAAAAAGAGAGAGGGGAAGAAGGATAGAGAGAGAGAGAGAGAGAAAGTACGAGAGGATGATATCGACTCTCTTTATTCCTCGTGCAGCATCTAGCAAAGTAGCAAGGTAGCAAGGTAGCTAGATAAATAGGTAGCTCTAGCTAGAACTTGCGAGAGCTTGCCAGAGCTTTGTGTATGATCTCTGTATGTAGCAATCCCGACGCTCTCGAGCAGCTTTTCGCTTTCTCGAATGCACCAGCACGACATCTTGCGAGTTACGTTAAGTTCGACGACCCTCCGGAGCCCTTCGTTGCCAGAGAAAAGAAGAAAAGATTTGTGTGTGATGACAAGGATGATGAAGATCAGGACAATCGAAACGATGACAGGTACAATGATGATAACAACGACGTGAATCAACTTTCAATCCTGATGATACAATCCCTCCTAACGATTGGAATTCTTTTCTTTCGTGTTTTTCCAAATGTCAGGGTGATGATGATGATGACAATAATGACAATGATTCGCTATGAGAACAATTTTGATAATTTTCTTCAAAAGGATAGAAAAGACATAGAAGGAATGAGAGAGAGAGAGAGAGAGAGAGAGAGAGAGAGAGTAAGTGAGTGAGGGAGTGAGTGAGTGAGAGAGACAGACAAAGAAAGAAAGAAACTGAGCAAAAAAAATGAATCTTTTTCTAAATCCTTCTTTTAAGAAGAGATAAATCCTCACTGTTATACTTCGTTGGATAAAAAAAATAAATCAAATCTCTATTCATAAACGCGTGATACTGAAAACTGAATTAAAGTCGACTAATTCTCAATCACTTGAACGCGGCAACGAACTAAACCAACCAACCAATCAACCAAACCAAACCAACCAACCAAGCAACGAACGAACGAACAAACGAACGAACGAACGAACGAACGAAACGATGCCGTAGCGATTGGAAAGCTAGGTCGCCGTCGACTGCTGTCCCAAAAGCTTGGAACGTGGCTGGCTTAGTGTTCGATGCATCAAACCGAAGCTTGCGCAAGCTCCCTGTGCCCTTTCCCTCTTCTTTCCCTTCCACCACTACCTCTCGACGGCCCTCTTTCTCTCTCTCTCTCTCTCTCACTTACTCTTCATCCTCATCCTTCTACCCCAACCTCCCCCTCCACCCACCTCCACGCAACTACCACTTCATCCTCCTACACCTCCACTACCACCACCTCTTTCTCCTCCTTCGCACCATCAGGATACGGGAAGTGGCGCGCGCTGCAGCCGTTCCATACGCGCGCGTCCTTTGTTTATTAAGCGAAATACAACGATATCCTCTGCCTCCCCCTTCGTACCAACCACCCAACCACCCACCATCACCTCCTTCTTCTCCTTCTCCTCTTTCTATTCCCTGCGTGATTACTTCGGCATCTTCTCTTTCTCTCTTTCTTTCTTTCTTTCTTTCTTTCTTTGTTTCTGTCTTCTTTCTTTCTTTTATTCTTTTACTCTTTTCAATTACTACAATTCTCCCCACCAAAACATAGACGAGACGATAGTCGAGACGTTGATTTTTACGTACAAGTATATGTACATATATATATACACTCACTGAAGAATTTTATACGATGTTATTGAGAGTAAGGTAAAGAAAAAAAAAGAAAGACAAAAAGCTCGATAGCAGAGAAAAAGAGAGAAGAGGAAGAGTACGAGGAGAAGGAGGAGGAGCAAGAGGAATAGCAAGAGAAGAGAGACGCATGTTAATCCCGAGCCGATCGATCCTCAATTAGTAAATTACTACGTGCTACTGCATACGGTGCATTCGTCGAAAGAACACGAATGCAACCATCCCAACACGTATCTCAAAAATATTTACGCTGTTTCAGTATTCTTTTCTTTTGATATTTCTCTCTTTCTTCCTCTCTCTCTCTCTCTTACTTAGTCTTCCAGATTGATTGCAAATAAAATTTCCTTTCTTTCTACTATCTCTAATTCTCTTTCCGTCAAACTATCTGGTCAATTAAAACCCAAAGAAAATTCACAGAATTATTACACATGTCAATAATTTTTGTTTCATCGACAATGTTTTAATAAAACATAAAAAAAAAGTTTGTGCTTCGAAGTATTCGCAAAAGCTTTCATATGAAATATCCAAAATTGATTAGGAAATATTTCCTCTTACGATTTATTCAGTTTATCTTCAGTTTATTAATTGAACGAAAGAGAGAGAGAGAGAGAGAGAGAGTTGAAGGAGAGAAAGAGAAAAAGAAGAAAAAAAGAGTCAACAGTTCAGGGATCGAGCAAAAGTTAGAGGATTTGCATATCGGTAAAACGCTCGGTGAGCTACTTTTTCTTTAATTTATGCAACTTCAATATTAGCGGTGAAATTTCTTCTTAGAAAAGTAAAGAAAAAAGTAACCTTAAAAGAAGGAAAAGAAGAAAAGGATAAGTAATAAAAGAAAAAACAAAAAAAAAAAGAAACTTGATAAGATCCTTATCAATGTGAAGAGAGACGAACGAGAACGAACGAACGAACGAACGGTGGTGCGTTCAAACGAAAACGATTTGCATCCATCCCTAATGCCCCACCCCCCAATCCACCTCCTCCTCCTCCTCTTGCCCTACCACCCAATTGTTTATAGTCGGTGGTTTTGTAACGTATATACCCCTATGTACACGAGCATTTATACTGTCCGTCGATGTCGAAACATTTTATACAAAATATCCTTTCATGAATATGCATGGGAAACTCTATTTAGTTAGACGCGTATTGAACGGGTTCGCATAAGTATCCGCTATGAATATCCATTAGAAGTGATTTTTGTCGAAGCTCCGACGTATCCCTGAAGGTTATGTGTTGGTTCTGTTCTGTTCTGTTCTGTTCTGTGGTTGTGTTGAATGTTGGTTGGGCAGATCCAAGCGAGATACATACATACATCATCCATCCGTATCGTCGACACGGACTTTCAATATCCTTCTTTTCCATTTTCGACAATGGAAGCTTCTCTACGTTATGCATATACAGGGTGATAAAAAAAATAGCGTTCATAACTTTTAGGGGTAAATGTTATGTGGATGGATTGAAAAGTTGTTTAATTCTAACGTAAAAGTTATTTTTATTTTTACAATGAAATACTTTTATTTAAAAAAAAAAAAAAAAATACATTTTTATTTAAACAGTAAGGACATTTTTTGATTCTATGATTCATTTAAGAATCTGAATTTTATTCGCGTCATTTATGTAACACTAAATCCAAATTAAAAGGAACAAATAATAATCATGAAATCCACTGTTTCCAGAAGTGGAACACAGTGTCCGAAAAGTTGAAAAAATACTCACTTTTTGTATTAACAATAAAATCAAATAAAAATTTGTTTATAAAATTGATAAAATATCTATTATTATGACTTTGTTGTTTCATCATTTGATGAATACTATCCTATCAATCTTATAATTGTTGAATTCTTGTTTTGTATCACCCTGTATATTTTTACATATCTGTACATATTTATACATAACCTATCCACGGTGTCTGCGAAATGATTTGCGATATTTGTTTCTTTTTTTCCTTCGCCTTCGTTCGCTTTTCTTTCTATATTTTCTTCTTCTTCTTCTCTCTTCTTTCTTTTCATCTTTTTTTTTTTTTTATTATTATTATTATTATTGTTGTTTTTCTTTTCTTGTGTTTTTTTTTTTTTTAGTAGTTATTTTTTGTCCTCCGAAGAATAGAACAAAACGTGTACCATTGTAACTTTTCAAAGATATTGCCAGTCCTAAGAAAAGTCTCTCTGACAGTACTTATCGTTGTTCCTTGTAAAAAGAAGATACGTATACTCACGTAGGAAGACTTTTTCTTCGTTAAACGTCTTTGCCAGTCGTCGAAAGTCGATATCGACTCGATCTTCTTAGAAGATAACGCCTGTCCACAAGCCACCATACCCCATCCAACCTACATCCCCAACAACCAACCTCTACCTTCAACCCTTGCTACAAACGGATACAAACTATATCTAATATTTGACTTTTACTATAAGACGACGACACTTCTCGATATATGACGTCATTACGATAGATAAGAAATGTCTCGGAATAATATATTATGCAACTTAGTGCGAAGTTGTCGATTGTCCACGAGAGCAAAATTGAACTTCGTTCTCGTTAGGGATCCTGTAGGAGGGATGCGCCATTCATATTCAGCTCATGTGCCATTGGTTGAGAATTTTCGGGGACCGCTTGAATTTATAATCATTTTTTCGTGTAACCTATTCTATTTTAATATAAATTTTTAATTATCATTAAATATAGCTCATTTTTTTTCTGTATTTGATGCAATTCATTATTTCATAATTATTTCAACGTTTGAATCATTCGCGCGCAAAATCGAGTTCCGGTCCCCCAGCAATGTACATGGCGCATCCCTCCTATAGGATCCCTAGTTCTCGTGGACAATCGACAACTTCGCACTACTTGCATATACTATTTTTTATTACAAATGCGGCGACATATTTGGTACATAATTGGGATCCATGGGCGACACTTCGGCGGGGTCCAGGGGCAGAGCCCCGGCGTGGGGTTGTCTCTCCACAAAACAATACTGATAAAGTTAAAAAAATTCTAAAATAAAATCAATGAAGAACTAAATATTAATCTAATCGCCTAAAATATTGACACTTTGATTCGTCTTTTGGTGCGACAAATTAAACTTTTCGCATTCAAATTGAAAAGTAGACAAACAGCGTTTTTTTCGACCCCAATAGCGACCGCAAAGATAGTACTTTTCTCCGCATGAATAATACAAAATAATATCTAGTCGAAAGTATCTTACTTTTGAAGGAGTTTGGAAAAATTGAACGGACGAAGGATAGAAGAAGAAGAAGAAAAAGAAAGGAAGAACGAGATAAAGTGTGTACATAAGAAAATATGATATTTTCCAAAATTATAATTATTATTCCAAAATTTTCAAATGATATTCTCCAAATTGAAATTCAATCTTTGTCTTTTTTTTTGTTTTTCTTTGAAAAATCGAAAATAATCATTTCTGGATAGACAGATAGATAGATAGATAGATGGGAAGGACAAGATGACGATTTGGAGAGATAAGTTTGAAGATGTAGTGAACCGGAAAAGCAGCAAAGACGAAAGAGGAAGAGATGAAGGAGGAGAAGCTTGAGAAATAACGGAAGGAAGGAAGGAAGGAAGGAAGAGAGAGAGTAAGTTTCAATGAAAACCGACTGCGGCTTTTCAAACTTGTGGACCAATTAGACTCCAATTTGTTCTTGAAGGTGGCGGGCGGGGTCTCGGCCGCAAAACGGACGTCTAATTAAAGCCGTACGCTTCGGTATTCGAGTAGACACTGACTTTAGATGCTTTCTATATATTTGGATAGATAATATATATACACGTGTATGTACAATAGGAATATTTCTACCCCTATTGTTAAGTGTTTATTTTTTTAACCATAAAATATTCTTCTTTAATAAAACTTAAATCACAATTTGAAAGAATTTAATAACTCTAAAATAGATATTTGTGTATGTGTGTGTGTGTGCGTGAATGAATTGTAAATCTTTGCATTACGAACAAATATCAATAATTTCAAATTTACAAAAGAGGGGAGGGCTGGTTACGAACACTCTTGTGATTTCTTTTATACATACACGTAAGTGCCCTTATAAAATATCATTCCAAAATCAGCGATTTTTCCAATAAAAGATTTTTGCTATTTTCTAAAAGAGAAAGAGAGAAAGAGAGAGACAGAGAGAATACCCCCATAGATTAAACTCCTTTATGTTAGAGTTAACTTCTTTCTCTTCGATCCGGGTAAACAATTTTTACTCTCGAAAGTCTGTTTTCTTTCTTGCGTTCTCACAACGAGTAGTACAGTGCAACTACGAAGACGTCGTATTCTTTTTCTCTTTCTAATTTTTCTCTTTTTCTTTTTCTCTTTTTTTTTCTTTCTCTTTCTTTCTTACATAGCACCAAACTTTAACAATACTTTTGCCAGCTTC